CCTTGACTGTACCAGGACCCCTTATAGCAGTCCACCATGACTTAACTGAGGACTATTCTCCATTAACTTTGAGACATGACCATTTGGTTGAAGCACACAGAGTGTGTTTGTCACATTGGTCGCTGACACCTGTTGTAAATGTGAGATTAATGCAGCATTATGTCGTACAGTAACATATCCAACTGTTTGACTGATCAGTGCTGACAACTAGGACAAGCTGCCCGGCCTTGTGTCTGCACTAAACTGCAAGGCAGTACAGAAATACTGGAGCCTTCAAAGTGAGACTGAGGGGTAAAGCGCGAAAAGGCAAGGCAGGGATACTTCAAGAAACTAGATGGTCGCTGAGTGAGCATGTGCGAAGAGAGCAAGCAAGCAGCCATGAGATGTCGCCTGGTCCATTTGCAGTCTGTGAGCTGGATGCCAGTCCCTGCACCCTGTGTTGGTGCAGCAGCAATGCACTGATAGGTGTCAGTGTGCCCCAAAGTGCAACATGGCAGTGCAGGAGCATACTGCAGTGGATCCAGATGTACCCATGATGATGTGAAGAGGCTGGCACAGGTCTGGTGCCACTGTCCGTGGACAGGCAAAGCATGCAGCTGCTGCCTGTGGAAGGTGCTCTGAGATGTTGGTGCCAGGTAACCGTAATGAAGGGCTGGAGGAGCATGCAATGAGCTGGAGTCCCTGCTGGGTACCTGCTCTGACCTTCACATGGGGACGACCCAGTGTTTAGTATCTCTCGGGCAGGCCGGACAGTGGGAGCCTGAATATTAATGAGGCAAGATTCAGTAGTAATGAGGGGAAAAATGAGCAATAATCTATGCTAAAAAGTCTCTCACCGCTCACTAGTGAGAATGTCATCTCGATATCTGGAAGCTCGTTGCAAAACGTGACTTGTCAATCCTGATGTCAAGAATCGCTTGAATTCTCAAGGAATTCTCCCAAGCATCTCGCCAGAGCCCACATTGTTCAGGCCCTAGGAAGGTTGCACCCTAAGATCCTCCTTGTAACTTCATGCATTTGTCCACCAGCCAGAGCTTCATGGACTCTTGAATAATAGGAGAGCCAATTGCAATTATGGTTTTCACTCAGACAGGCGTGGGTGCGCTTTCCATAAGATTAAATGGCTAAATTTCCTCTTCTGCTCTTTCCTTCCTTCTGCCTCCCACACACTCAAGTGTGTTAATCTCACTGATTAACCTGTGAAATGGTGCTTTAAGTTTTATAATATTTATGGGGGAAATCCCATTAATATTGAGATATTTATTGAAGTCTTTAGCTTTCTTTTGAAGCAGTTGTGTAGGTTTGCTGATTTGCCATAGGTTTTTGAACATATGACAAATGTAGGCAGTATTTTTCATTTTTAAGGAAACATATGTGATTACACTCGAAACATTGTTTCTCTGAAAGGACTATCTCCTGTAATCTCAGAGGGACTAGGTTGTAAATCCTTTTTGTGATTTACAAAGTGATACAGTTACAAAAGCTGCAACAGGATGGGGTGAAAGATACTGCAAAAGCATCAGTTTTTATTTAGCAATGCTAGTTTATTTTGGAAGAGGACTGGAAAAATATATTATTAGTATCATCCTGGGAAGAAGGATTAGACGAGTTATATCAGGATTTACACAGTTTATGTTTCTCATGTCAGTTGACAGTCAGTTTACACCTGGCTTTATGTTCTTCACAGCTGATCAGAGTGGATATTGAAATGTTCTTCTCCTTGAGTGGAGATTCATAGTCTTAGGTTAAGGTCTTGGCTGTTTAGGATTGAGATGTAGAGAAATGTCTTCACGTTATGAGTCTTTGGAATTCTTGACTGCAAAGGGATATGCTCTGTTATGGAATATAATGATGAATGAAATCAATGGATTTTTGGCTGTTAGAGGAAAAGTGGGATCTGGGTATAGGTTGGGAAAGTAAGGTTGATGTCAAAGCTCAGCCAAGATTGATGCAAAGTAAGAGCAGATTCAAGGGTGGGTGGGGTTTGGCCTCTTCCTGTTCCTATTTCTGATGATCGTGTGTTCACCAAGAACTGATGGAGCTCCTTCTAGGGGTGCAGCTAAATTTATGTGTTTCTTGTGCAGAGATAGGCAGTCCCTCAACTGTATTTTTTAAAGCCACTGACTGCTCTGCAAATTGTTCCCCAGTGTCTCCCAAAACTGCTCCCAAGTAGCGATCCAGAAATTACGGATGACTGAACTCCATCTTTCTCTATCTGGAGAAGCTCCTGTTTTCTTTACTGTATTCCATCTAATAAACCAGCTGCAATCAAGGCTTTATCATATTAGGGAAACAAACAGATGCTGCTATGCTCCATTACTTTATAACATAGCGTATCATTGTATTAACATATATTGCCGGAAGGCTGCCATCATTTAATGCTCAAAGCCCAGAAATATGGGAGTATGAAACAATATTGCAACTATCCCCAGTCATTCAACGAGTCTAGCCAATGCTTGAGTCATACCAACCAAGAAGGTCGCAAGTTTAATGCCAATTTGATGAAGGTTTTGTTTTTGGTGTTTGGTGGTCAAATTTAGGAGATTTAAAGCCATCCAAGATCCACAAAGATAGAAACATGGAATATCAGAGTAGGAGTAGGCTATTCAACCCTTCAAGCCTGTTCTGCTATTCAACATGATCATGGTTGACCATCTAACTTAGTACCCTATTCCTGCTTTCTCCCATACCTTTTCATTACTTTAGCCCTAACTCCTCCTTGAAAACATTTAATGCTTTGATCTCAACCACTTTCTGTGGCAGAGTATTCCACAAGCTCACTATTCTCTGGGTGAATACATTTCTCCTCATCTCAGTCCTAAATGTCCTACTCCATATCGTTAGACTGTGACCCCTAGTTCGATAACTGCGAACATCCCCTCTGAGTTTGCCAAGTCAAATCATGTTAGAATTTTATAGGTTTTTATGAGATCCCCCTCATCACCTCAGTAAATATATTCTTAACTGATCCAGTTTCTCTTCAAACGTCAGACATGCCATCCCAGGAATCAGTCTGGGAAAGGTTTTGTTGTACTCCCTCCATATCCAGAACTTACTTCCTTCGATAAAGAGTTCAGAACTGCACACAATACTCTAGGGATGGTCTCACCAAGGCACTGTACAATTACAGCAAGACATCTCCGTTCTTGTACTGAAATCCTCTCGCTGTGAAGGCCAACATACCATGTGCCTTCTTCACCGCCAGCTACACCCGTATGCTTACTTTCAGTAACTGGTGTACAAGGACACCCAAGTTTCATTGCACCTCCCCCTTGCCCAATCTATCACCTTTCAGATAATAATCTCCTGTCCTGTTTTTGCTACCCAAGTGGATAACCTCACATTTATCCACATTATACAGCATCTGCCATGTGTTTACTCATTGACGTAACTTGTCCAAATCACACTGAAGCATCTCTCTGCCCTCCTCACAGTTCATTCTCCCACCCAGCTCTATGTTGTGATAAACTAGGTTTCACAAGCTTCCCTTGTGTTGCTAGTAACATTAGCAACCTACCTGCAGTCAGTCAGCCAGCCAGAGTTCCACTGACTATAACCATAAAAGTGACTATGGGCTGAGCCCTTTTTTTTCCTGTCTGAATCCAAGTTGCATTGAGTTTTATGGAGAGTATAGATGAGGCCTAGTGAGTTCTCATAGCACATCTTACCAAACTTGCCTCATTAATCATGTACACTGCCCCTCTGACAATACTATGGCTTTAAGAGATCTCTTTTGTCCTTTGTTTTAAATGGAGAATGGCACTTCAGTCTCAACCTATCAGTCTGCTCCAAAGCGAATAAACAGCTTGTGAGACCTTGGTTTTTATTTTAAATACACAAGTTGGAATAATAGAAGCAGCCTGAATGGATGGGGTCAAACTCCCACAGAACCCGGTTTATTTTTAGCTTTAGCCTTCAGCAGCAATTGCTGGAGTCTTGAAGGTGGATGTGGAAGTTCTTATTCCTCTCTCTGTTTCAGCTAAAAGCTGGGGTTCTGTTCCTGCTGCTAGAATTGCATATGAGACAATCTATTTTACTGAATTTGTCTTTGTCAAGGGTGTGTTTATGGGATGTAACTACATTGGATCAGTTAATTGGTAGGAGTTATATATATATATTTAGAGTTATATATATAGTATAAGTGTTTCAATACAGTTAAGCCAATTCTTCTTTTTATTTTGCCTGTATTTTAATTACAGTGTATGAATAAAGGCTGGTAGTTTGACCAATCAAATTGCATCTGGAACACAATACCTTACATTTACCTTTAAAATCAGAAAAAGTTAGGGTCTAAACTATCTTCTTAATATATTTTGAGGGGGTTTAGTCTGGTCCATTACAAATTGGGTGCTCTTGTTGGGATCAAAATCTGTAATTCCAGGTTGGGTTTAGGATTATTGGACTCAAAGGCTGTAGGTTGGTGTTCTCTTTTTGGGTCTTGAATTCAGTTGATTTAACGACACGCCCCTACAGTATTCTGTCCCTTTGATTGTAGAAAAGACAAAGTATACAGTATCTCCCCACTCTGGCCAGTGGAGATGTTATCATGAGAGAGCTACCACTATCCATTAAAATGGAATTTGCATTGCTAAAGGCTAGAGGAGGCCAGCTAAATCTAACCGTTTTCACCAGTTTATGTCATTATAACTGTTGTGTTTGAGTTTACTGAAAAACTTGCTTTTAAAAGGCACTGCTCTCAGTTTAGCCATTCTAAGCAGCTGACTATTCATGGCTTTAAGAAGTGCTTGCGTCTCTGGAGTGACATAAAATTAAGGATGCAATAGGTTACATAAATCTGCAATGCCATTACACCACAGAGTATTTATTTTATTATAAAAGACATACATTATTCCCTTGCTTCTTTGTGACTGCTGAGTTAGTGGTCTCTCACTCATGCAAAACACTACCATTGCTTTGCTGGAATATCTTGTGCTTTACAGGAGCATTATTTTTCAATGTTTTAATTAACCTTTTACCTGTTGATTTGATAACCTTGTTAGACACTGAGGATCATGGTTTGTTACTGGAAGGAGAAAGTCCCTGGAATATATGGAATTCAGAAGGGATATCCCTGCTTTATAAGAATTTCTGACTCCATTGAATATCATATCTATGGTCTTCCTTCCAATGAATATCCGGGACTTATGAAGGTATGGATGTGGAGATTAAGTTCTTTATTCTGCAAGTACAAATACGGTTTGGTGTATAATTTTGCTTTTATAACACCCCTGTCAAGCATCTTTGGATGTTTTATCAAGCAAATGGCACTATATAAATGAAAGTTTTTTTTAAATGAAAGGCAATGTAAGTTATAATCAACTTTTGATCATCATTCTGAGATTGATTGAGCTGAGAGTTTCTCAGCTTACTGCTATCAAATATTCTGTTTATGCAACTGGCTTAGGGACTCTTTTAAAGAGTATCTTGTGTGTTTTTGTATAATTTAAGCATGCTTATTTTGCTCCAGAGTACAGTATAGTAGCCATCATAGTGCAGGGATTCAAGAAGGTATTTTTGGAAGTTTGTGCATGTGTTTCTGCAGTATAAAAGGATTAAACAAACAATCAGGTGTATCTGAGGTTTATTGTTTTCAGGTGAAGAGTCTTGCTAGAAATTCATGGAAGAAATTGTACCACTTTTCCAGCAAGAGAAAATTTACCCACTACCCCTTGATAGTCAATGCCATTACTATTGCTAAATCCCTCACTATCAGCATGCTGGGGGTTACCATTGGCCAGTGGTGGATGCAGTTACAGTTACAGCATCTAAAAGGCATTTGGACAGGTACATGAATAGGAAAGGTTTAGAGGGATATGGACCAAATGCAGGTAAGTGGGACTAGTCCATGTTGACCAAGTTTCCCAAACTAAAGAAGTTAGACTGAAGGGTATGTTTCTGTCTTGTATGACTCAATGACTAAATGAACTAGACTAGCCATATAAATACAGTGGCTACAAGAGCAAATCAGAAGCTATGTATCTTACAGCAAGTAACTCACCTCCTGACCTGTGTTCCCTGTAATTGTTCCTGCCACTGCATGTGGCTCTGAAGTCTGGGTAAAGCAGTGCCTTCTGGTTTCAGGACCCAATGTGTCAGTATGCCAGTTAGCATGTACGGAACCTCCGAGCCTTGCAGCTTAGAGGGAATCCTGTTCCTGACTCCCAAAAGCCTGTCCTCCTTTTACATTGCGTAAATCTGGAGTTTAGTGGAATGTTGCCTGGATGAATGCAGCTCTAACAACACTCAAGAAGGTTGACACCATCCAGGACAAAGTATCTCACTTGATAGGTACCACACTCACAAACATTTACTCCCTCCACCACTGATGCTCAGTAACAGCAGAGTGTACTATCTATAAGAGGGACTACAGAAAAATCACGAGAATCTTCAGGCAGCACCTTGCAAACCCAGGACCACTACTATGTAGAAGGATAAGGGCAGCAGGTACATGGGAACACTACTACCATCAAATTCATCTCCAAACCATTCACCATCCTGACTTGGAAAGATATCACATCCTTCACCATCGCTGGGTCAAAATCCTGGCATTCCTTACCTAATGGCCTTGTGGGTCTACCTACAGCACATGGACTGCAGCAGTTCAAGAAGACAGCTCACCATTACCTTTAGAGCAACTAGGGATGGACAATAAATGCTGGCCCAGCCAGCAAAGGCTACATCCCATGAATTAAAATAATGTAGTACAGAAATTATAAACTGAAGAGCAGTAATATCAGTACGTACCAACAATTGACAAGTAATGTTAGCCTGTAAAATGAGGCAATGTCAAAGCCTAGATGTAAATTTATCATCAAAGTAAGAAAAGGCAGTTTTAAATTCAAAACCATGAACATTTTCAGCATAGATTTGATCTTCTGCATTGTCTTCTCATACATGGAGAAATAAATATATGCAAAAATATTGTTTAAAGCCTTATATGTATGCATACTTCTCATCTGCAAAACCTTTCCGTCCTTTGTCAAAGTTTTGCCATCTTCCTGGCAGCCTCCTATGCAATGATAAATGCCTCGGTTTGCCGTTACAATGGAAACAAATGCACAAAACTTGTCATGCGTCTGTTTCATATCCTACCCACTAGGATGATGTTGTATGGCCTCAGTTTGGTGTCTCCTAAAATCTATTTTCTAAACTCTAACCCACATGACTCTGCTTCCCATATTGCTATACATTTTGCAATCTAGCCATAAACAATATTATAAGAATCAGACAAAAATGAGAATACAACTTATTACTTTAAAATGGGCTTTCAATTATTCTCTGCCATCTAACTTCAGGTAATGCACCTGAAGCCTACTTTCATTTTTGCAGTGGAGTCAGGAACATTGACATTCTTAATGCTGAGTTGGATAGATTCATGACTGGAAAAGGAGTCAAATGTTATAAATGGGAAAGTAGAGTTGAGGCCATGATTAGATCAGCCATGATTTTATCAAATAAGACACAGGCTCAAGAGGATGAATGGCATATTCATTTATAACTCATATGATCTGGTCTCTCTGTATACCACCACTATAGGAGTGATTAATGCAATTATATATACGTGTGAATCTTGTTTGAAATATGTGCACAAATTAGTGTCTATAGCAAAACGTTCCTGAATTGCTTGTGAAAAGATTAGTTTATATTATTAAAGGCAGAGGCTTTGAATGCTCTTCTTTTCTGGAATTAATGCTTAAATCCAATGCAGACTTACAAAATGAATGTCCTCAGACAGCCAGCTGTAAGGATCCTGAATGGAAAAAGAGTTAAGTAGTTTCAACTAATTTCACAGCACAGGATTTTTTTCATACTGTGACATTAAATTGACTGCTTCACTCAAAGGCAATAAATGTAATTGGTGTGGGATGTAAAAATGTCACTAGTGACTAGGCAATTAGGGATGGGCAACAAGTGCTGACCTTGCCAATAACACCCATTTCCTGTGAAAGAATTAAAACTAGTCTGAGACTGGAATTAGGCCTGTTGTGGAAGATTTGCTACATGTGCAAGCAATAAGGAAATGTGCATTGAAACATCACCTATACTGCAAGAATAAAGCCAGGGCACTCAATCTTTGCAAACCATTTCATTATACAGAGTGCATAAAGGATAAGTTACTCTCTCACTTAGGTTGGACAGGCAACTTAGCAATCAGATGTCAAAATTGGAATACAAATCATCTTTATAATACAGAAAAGAATAAAAATGTTTTGAAGTGATTGCTGGGAATGGTTGAAATCTCTTGTCTGTGGAATCTAACGTCCTGACTTCTGCAGGTAGCCTCAGGCTTGAAAAGATCACATTTTGATCCAGCAGTGACTTGATGAACACTTGGCCTTTGTACTGGGATAAATTGCAACAACCATGTCTATCCTGTAGAGGGGCTGTCATTGGTTTATATCATTATCAAATTGACTTCTTCCACTGGGGTTTAGTAATCCGTCTCTAGTAAAAATCTTGTTGATATACCATTCCTGGCCTTAAGCAATGAAAACTATTTAAATTTGGGTGGTCTGCAGACAGAAGACTTTGCTGGTTTTGTACCTCCGTGGCAATCAGCAGGATTCTGCATGGTGATAGGGAATGATGAGTGAAAAGTGTCTTTGAGACACCTCCCCTAAGTGAAGTCTGAAGGGTCAAAGTGCAGCAACATGATATTTGTTCAACAAGTGCTCAATATAGATTGCTTCTCCCATCAATTTTCTAAGGCCAGGGTCACAATAATTAGATCTTATTTATTTTCTTAAACCTGATTGCATGTGATTCTTTTGGTACATACAATAGGCTGCAACAGCACAGCTAAGTCATAATCAGAATAGTATATTGGGAGACAAAGGATAAAATTTAATTCTGCATTGCCATTGCTCATGAGATAAAGGTCATCTCCTCCTCCCAACTTTAATGGCCCAAAGGGAAATGTGTTAGTGTAGCTCCAGCCTAATTTATTATACATGTGAATACACTGCAGAAATAAATTAATAATGTGGCACAAATTGTGCCTTGGTTTGAATGAGGAATGAACCCTTTCAGATAGTGTCTGTGTGTGTGTGTTTGTGTGTGTCTATAATGTATTCCATAACAGATTGCATATGATCTGAAACAAAAATTCCCCCTTTAGGTCTGCTACCACAGTGGCAGTGATGCTGACCCAGATGAACGTGATATCGTATTTCAGCAGCCTTCCCAGGATGTGAACATTCTGAGCACCTTTTTGTCTAAGGAGTTTCCTGGTGTGGATCCAAAGCCTGTGATTGTTGAACACTGCATGTATACAGTAATGTATCATTCTCCTTGCCTTCATGTAACTGGAAAGGCTTTAAAAACTATACTGGAAATCTGTTTCCCTTTGATTTCTTAGGATCTATTTTCTTTGAGTTGTGAAAGCAAGAATAATGCCTCATAAATATTAAAGTCTCTTCAGAATCACTTCTCTATAAAACCAGTTTCCGGTGTTTTAGGCTATGTTGAAACTTTCAAAGGGGCTTTGAATAAAATTGGCACATAAAATGTTAGTGCCTTCAAGATCTACATGTCCATCCTCCCTTATTACTCCTGAAAAAACAATTCTTGTTACTTTTAATATACTATTAAAAGAGCAATTATATTTATTAGCCTAAAGCATATTTTCTATTTAATATCTTTTTTAAATATACCATTTTCTATTTAATATCTTCTTTAAATAGATTAAAGATTTGAGTGTATATTAATTTAATCCTCAGTCATATAAGTGTGCATTATAAGAAAGTATCATATTTGTTAGACTCATAATTCCCTTGAATATATTTCCAATAGCACTGTCAGACGATCATTTCTTGCAGTTGAAACATTCTTCTGAACTAGTTATGTTGTCAGTTTCTCCTAGCCTTTAATCAATACAATATTAAGTTTACAACTGCTAATAGTCCTTATTATAATAAATAATGTAGTCTCAACACACGAGCATAATATGTAACAGATGGAATCAGGTAAGCAAAGTCCATAATTTAACCTCAGGTATTGGAAGATATTTAAAATCGCCTCATGCTTCATTTTTATGGTTTCTGATATTCCTTCACTATCAGCTATTCCTAATTATCCATGACATTATATTGTAGTCACCACATAACAAAGCAGAATTGAGGGATATTTCCCCATGCTGATTCAATGCCCTATTTTAGTTTTATCAGTACACCATCAATTGTCAGATGTAAGCTATTACAAAATACTGAAATATTGATTCAGCTTCAGCAAAAAGAAAGATCATTAGATTGAAGCAATGTAAACCATAATGTTATACAGTACATCTATGTTACAGGCTTAATTTATGGTGGTGAGGGGGAATTGTAACTCAGATGGATTCTTTGTTTCAAGGATAATATTTTCCTTCACGGGGCTATAATTTTTTGCCAAATAAACACATTCTCAAGGCAAACAGGAATAATAATTTATTCATAGAAAAGCCTGAACGAATCACTGTATTAAGGATTTACTTTCCATGGTTATCAACTTTCCTGATTCTTGTGAACCCGTTTAGTTTACCAACTCAAGTTGCTGACAATTTCCTTTTTTGAAAGTCTTTTTGTTCAGTATTTCTGAGTCAGCCCCTGTTCGCAAAGCTGACAAATAAACTGATTTGTGACTAGAAATGAATTCAACCCTGTTCCGAAACCATCTAACAATAGAACTATGTCTTGATGTAAAATATTTTGAAATGACTTTTCAAAATGCATTATTCATCTGAAGGCTGAAAAATGTGCACTTTTCAAATGTAAGGAAGATGTGGGATGGTGGGAGGGGCAGTGCAGGTTGAGGAATGTTAACAACATGAGGAACCAGCATCTGCAGAGGTTACACATCCTCATGCCTTGTTATTTGGTTTCTGTGGGCTAGGAATATTTTTCATGGATGCCACAATCATCTTAGTGCCTTTTTACCAGCTGGCACAGCCCGTTTTTTCCAGTCTCTTGTGACAATGTCCTACACTGCCTGCGCTGCCACTCCTGTTGGCCTTTTGGGCAGCTGGTACTTACTACAGGTTCAACAGACTGACTGCAAACATGCAGCTAGGACCAGAGAGGTAAAACCTGGGCCTCTGCCTGGACAGGACTGGATGGTTTTCCATTCCCCCCGGCCTTGAACTGCACTGATCCTGTGCTTCATTCAAATCAACTTCTCCATCTGCAAGTATTTTCGGTCAAGTTAGGCCCAATGGAGAAATGATGCCTAAAATTTTGTTCCTCACACAGTAATTTTCACATTGTTATTCAATAGGTTACCCCAGATTCAGATTTCATTCTGGATTATCACCCAGAGCATAGCAACATCATCATTGGAGCTGGGTTCTCAGGTTGGTACAATTACAATATGAACTGACTGCTTATTTCTGAAAGCACATTCTCTTTAGTAAGACTTTCCTTTAACTGAATTGCAAAGAATCAATGTTGTGAACCTTTTGATTGTCAATATCTATTAAAGCTTAATGACTTACCTTTTTTATTTTGATATGAGTAAAATTTTACAGAGCAGATCTCTGGTTCCAGTGCATATTTTTTGAAAATAATTATTTTGCAGATATCATAAAGACTTCTAATTTAAAGAAAAATTCAGAGCTCTGAGGATCATCTAGTTGGGGATCAGGGTGGAATAAAACAGATGCTATACAATCATGAGCTAAAATATTGCTGACACTGTAGACATTAAAAATACTAGCGGAGTAACCAGTAGCTTTTAGATAGGCCATGTAAAAGGAGGCATGATAAGGTCGAAGAGACAGTGGTCAAAGTTGACAAATCGTGGCCATGACTTTTCATTTGATCTGGATCATAGCTTCCTATTAAATCAAAGTGAAGGCATCACAACTGCCTTAGGTAGATTCACAAATCTAATTCAAACTCTTCAAGCTCAAATTCCTTCAGGCCAGATGTTCAAAGGACACAAGTTATCAGTCAAAACCCTCGCTGGTGATCTTGCTAATGATACTGTTAAAAAAAAAAACACTAGAAAACTGGTCTGATAGAGAGCTCAGGTTGAAATTTCATGAGCTCTTGCGTGTCATTGTGCTGGAATTATTGTGACAGGCTGGCCTGATTACCAGCACTCCCAATGTTGCTTGGAAGTCATGTGTCCATGCATTAAATATGTAATTCAGAGCAGTGATTATTCATTGAAGCTAACTGGGATTTATCCAGACTTTGGTTTACAGTCTTTTTCAACTTCCTTCCTTAATGTCATACAAACGTCTCTTTTATCAGCAAACCAGCTTGAAGTAATTGATCACAGCCGAGTATAATTTATTGGCTGTTCCTGTAGCTCAGTTCTAATTTAGTAACATCCATTTTGTTGTGATAAGCCAAATACTGAATAAGCCCTCAAGCTACAAATCCAATCTGCAGCCAATTTATAATTTAAATAAAGGTAAAAGCATTGCAAAAGTAAAATCTACTTTCGATTGAAGATTTCCCTTCCAGGCTATTTCCTTATGTCAATCAGGACTCTGTCAGTTGAGACCAACACAACTACTATATCTAAAAATATATTTTGTTCCTGCACTGACCAGCAACCTGCCTAATGGATTTATAAATTACACTGCATTGGGAAATAACAAATGACCATTAAAGAAATTGCAACCATGGCTTTGACAAATTTTATAGGCATTTAAAGGAGTGGCCATAAATTACATTCCAACGAGACATTACCAGTATAATTTGGAACAATATGACCTCTACATGGCCAATTCAACCTGTTTAACAGCTGCTACTGAAACCTATCCAATGGATTTTCAAGCACCCAGTGCAGAGACCTTTACTTTGAGTTGAAGTTAACAATACTTCAGTTGCCTATCACCAGATGTTGCTATCTGATATTTATATGGACAGTTTACACTTTCACTTGAATGTGGCTGTTCATGGAGACTTTGGATGTTATATTAGGCCCAGAAATGTCACATTAGTTCTTCTCAAAACTGGAAGATTAACATGTCAACATGGAAGAAGTGGAGGGTGAATCCTGTGAGCTGGTGGAAACCTTGTGAGTTGTTGCAATCAATGGAAAATCCATACAGGCAACAGAAATGCCATTTAAGAATGTGAATATTTAGATTTTTACTTGAAATAAATTGGATGACAATTTCACTTCAGCCCAGGTGCATTTGTAATAATCACTGTGATTTTGGTTTATACACTGCTGCTTAGACACTCATCATCCCACAAGAGCATTAACATCACTAGACTACACGGTGGTCAAATGGACCCATTAGAAAGACTCGTGGCTCTGTTCCCGCTGCAATATTTAGGATTGAATAAAAAAAACATAACTGCCATAAACCAGCAACAACATTCTATTCTGGGTCATTGGCACCACTGACAAAAGCAGCATTAATTGACTATCTCTCATTGCCCTGAAACTGAGTGACTTGCTGAGCCAGTTCAGCAGAGAGCTGACGTTCAATCACATTGCTGTGTGTCAGGAGTCACATGTAACCAGGCCAGGTAAGGATGGCAGATTCCTTCCCTGAAGGGCAATGCGTAAATCAAATGGTGTTTTTACAATAACAGAGAACAGTTTCATGGTTACCATTTCTGAAACTACCAACTGCCTTGGGGAATTGAACCCTTGACACCAGTGATGTCACTGGCTAATTAGTCAAGCAAAATTATCACTGCACCGCTATCTCTTAATCTAACTGAGGTGTTTGTGTCATACTTCAAGATATTTTGGCATAAAATTGCTGCAGCTTTTTAGCTAAACACAGTGTAGTGATTGTAATGAGGTCAGCCAAGTGGACACCAGAGAATGAGTTCCCTGATTGGACCAGATTAACAGCCGCAATCAGGGAGCCCTGGCTGACAGCTAAGAACAGGAGTGTATTTCATTCAAGGGGAGTGAAATTCATAGAACACTCAAATTACAGGAATACACATTTGATTGTGTTGAATTGTCTATCCAGAGTGGTATTTCATGCATAACTTTTTACTTTGGGAATTTTATGTTTATTAGCACACTCCTGAGAGGATGTTGAGTGTAACATGAGAATGGCTTTTCCTCAGAGGGGTCAGTAATTTTAGAAAAGGGGGCATTAGTCAGGTCGGCACAACAGAGATAAAGCAGCAATTCCCTGGTGTTTACAGCCTGTCGCCCAGGTGCCTGAAAAGCATCCAAATTAATATTGGGTTACATAAACTCAGGCAGCCCCTGTCATCTTGAACAGCCATTGGACACATTGGAAATTTGCATTTGAACAATGAACGCCATGTTTCAGTTCTGCTCCTGAAAGTTCATTCTGTGTTCTGCTCACTTTTGCTAATGCAGCAGGTAAACACATTGGACTTAAATGGACCACAAGAAGTCTGTGCCCAAAAAAGACACATCTTTCCTTAGACTTAGCTTGTTGTGGGGCCAAGGGGAGTGGAGTAGATGGTGGTAGATGGGAAGGGACATGGAGTGTTGCCCCCCACTCTAACGCATCAGCCCCCATCAACCTCCCATGTAGACCCGAGGATCAATAGTGGCAAGATAATCTGTCCACATTGGTCCTCACTAAACCAGCAAGTTCTTTCTGCATGGCCAATGCTTCAGCACATCATCCGAAATATAACTGATGAAGGCTGAAGATTGTCAGCAAAAATCAATCAATCAGCATGCACTGACAGAGGGGTGACCACTCTGCAACCGTAAATGAGACAAAACCAATCTCTGAGTGATACTAAATAAAAAAAAACAAGAGAATTGCAGATGCTGGAAATCAGAAACAAAACTAGAAACTGCTGGAAAACTCAGCAGGTCTGGCAGCATTTGTGGAGAGAGGTCAGAGTTAACATTTCGGGTCCAGTGACTTCCTCAGCACTGATGGTAGCTAGGAAAATGGTGTTTGTTGTGTAGAAGGTAGGGTGAGGGGAGGGGTTAAGAAGTAAATGTTAGGTGGAGATAGAGCCCAAAGGGAGAGAAGAAGTTAGACGAACAAAGGAATGGATAATGGCCACCAAAGGAGGATGACTAAATGCTAATGGGGACTATTAGTGGCTAACAGTGGGTGGTGTTTCATAGCAGACCATGTGATAACAAGGCCTGGTGTATGGTGGTGGGGAAAAAGTGTAGGGAAGGTATTCAAATGCTAAAATTGTTGAACTCATTATTGAGTCCAGATGGCTGTACAGTCCCCAAGAGGTAAAAGGTGCTGTTCTTCCAGCTTGCAATGAGCTTTGCTAGAGCATGGCAAAAAGCCTGAGATAGAGATGTTGGCTAGGGAACACTGTATTGTGTTGAAGTGGCAGGCAACTGGAAGCTCAGGGTCTTCTTTGCAGACAGAATGTAGGTGTTCTGTGAAGTAGTCACCCAGTCTATGCTTCATTTCCCCAATGTAGAGGAGACCACATTATGAGCAGCAAATGCAGTGGGCTATATTAAATGAAATGCAGGTATGTCGCTGCTTCACCTGGTAGGGGTATTTGGGCCCTTGGATGCTGAGGAGGGAGGAAATAAACAGGTAGGTTGTTACACCTTCTGTGTTTGCAGGCAAAAGTGCCGTAGGCTGTTGTGGGGTATTCGCAGTGCAGGAAGAATAGACCAGAGTGTCTTAGAGTGAACAGTCCTGGCAGAAGGCTGACAAGGGAAAGGTGGGGAATATGTGCCTGGTGGATGTCATCCTGCTGGAGGTGGTGGAAATGGCAGCTATTGATCCTCTGGATGTGGATGCTGGTGGGATGGAAGGTGAGGGAGGGAAGAGAGAGGGGTAAGGGCTGAAGTGTGGGAGGTGGGTCAGAGCCAGCCGCTGGCCATGTTAACTATGGTGCTGGGGAATCCTCGGTTGAGGAAGAAGGTGGATATTTCGGAGGATCCCTTGTCGAAGTTGGCATCAACAGAACAGATGCAATGGACACGGAGGAACGGGGAGAATGGAATAGATTCTTAACAGGAAACAGGGTGTGAGGATTTATAGTCAAGGTAACTGTGGAAGTGAGTCGGTTTGTGGATATTGGTAGCCAGCCTGTCCTCAGAAATAGAAGCAGACGTGTCGAGGAAGAGAAGCAGGGAGTCAGAGATGGACCAGGTGAAGGTGAGAGCAGGATCGAAATTGGAAGAAAACTTGATAAGCTTTTCCTATTCTGGCCTAAGAGAGGGAAGCAGCACCAACGATATCATCAATATTCCAGAGAAAGTTGTGGGTGGGGGCCAGAATAGGACTGGAACAACTGGAACTGAAACTGACTGCTGACTGTCTACTCCCCTTCCGCAGTTATGTTCATGCCTGGGTATTCTTGGAGAGGGAGCATATGGTGTTCAATACCTTTGGAGAGATATGGGCACCATGGGAGTACAGTACTTTATTTCCCCCTCCAACTCCATTTTGATTTAATCTCTGCCTGCTGTCCCTACCCCCTTCACTTTTGATGGTTTGCATTGCCTATAATGGGCTTTGCTTGTAAATATTTAATTGGCTACATGCTTATTTTTACTGGTGGTGGTTAGTATTTGGAAAAAGTCACAGCGATTTGTTATGTGGCAGAGCATTTCTGGAAACAGGAAAAAAAATAAGAGCTCTGTGGCACAGTGGTAGTGACCCTGCCTCTAAGCCAGGAGGCCCAGGCTGAAGTCTCACCTGCTCCAGAAGTGTGTCATAACACTTCTGAACAGGTTAATTTGAAAATAATGAAAAAAAAAACACAGATTCAGGGATGGGTCTGCAGAACTCTCTGTCAAGGTCTGGGACTAGGGTAACATATGCCACGAGTAGTGGCTGTATTTTGGGATTCAACAATAAGCAATGGTCCTTTCCCGTTGGACTTCCCGATTTATTACAAGAACCAAACTCTGTGGACTGATAGGAAAACAAATAAACCAGAACTTCTGGTATTTGCAAGTTTGTTAAATCAGAGATTTCACCTAACTGAACATTTAATTAACATCTTACATCAAACCGGGCCTGACATAAACCTCGATAACGTATTTCCCATTACCTTCAAAAAAGTTCTGGTGGAAGTGAAGCAGCTTGTATATTGCTTCAACTGAAAGCCTATGCACTGCATGATTGGAACTTTTTGAACCTGCACATGCTCAGACTGTACAATCATGGTTGGACCTCTGCAACATTTCAAATCTAGACATTTCGACTTCAAGTTTAGATTTTTTGAGATGAGCCAAAGCCTTAAAGTAAAATCCTTGAAGGAAGACAGTACATGGTACAAAAAAAAGCTCTTGGCTGATCTATCAACAGAAACTCATCCTTCTCCCCATGCCTGATTCAGTGTAAATTCCTTATATTCTGTAAGGAACAACTTCTCTTTTAATTCCTCTCACCTCTGGAATGCTGGACCTTGGACAACTACAAACAGAGAGTAAAGCAAGAGTTCCGAAAGTGGCTATACTGGAATTGGAGGCTGGCATGCAGCTCAAACAATAAGTATACTCACTCCAGAAATGCAGCTCAGGTTTTAATCAACCTGTTTGGACAAGTCATGATACACGTCTTGTGCAAGTGGGAGTTAAACCTAGGCCACAAGAGCTCGCTAGAAATCAGGAACGTATACAAATCAGAAAAGCTGATTATTCAGAATGGCGATTTAATTGTTAAGTTTTAAATGAGTTAAGCAAAGGATTCTGGAAAAAATGATTTAGCATTTACTCTGTAGAAATTAGTGTTATTCTTGGGAGTAGGTTACTCGATTACCTTTTAGAATGTATTCATTACCTCGATTTTGAAGAAAGGGTAAACTATAACAAGAACCTTTATACCGATTTATTTTTACATTTTAGGTCATGGTTTCAAGCTTGCCCCAGTTGTTGGAAAAATCCTCTGTGAACTTAGCCTTGGAAAAAGGCCATCCTACAACCTCTCTCCTTTCAAAATGCATCGTTTCCGATTAAATCTGAAGTCCTTGTTGTAAGGCAGCAGAGCCAAAAATGAAAATTTGAATAAAACTTTATGTTAAAAGAATGTGACATCTCAACTATTTGATCAATGAAAATAGTAATTGTTGGGGGTTGCGTGCAGCGGTGGGCGGGGAGGGGGGGGTTGGTGGGGGATTAGAAACAGAAGCTTAACACAGTTCCTGTCAACACCTTGGTAACATAAAAATACCTACAGGTTTTTATCCTATAAAGGTTGCATTAAAGTGGCCAGAAATTACCCATTTTCTAAAGCAAGAGCAGGTCATGTCACAATCGTTTATGGGCATTTTATTGTTCAGAGGAAAAGGACATGAGAGCTTCACTGGCTTAAGAAGGTTTTGATCAGCAGAGTCTTGATAAGAATCAGCTGTAATCAACAGATTGACTCAAAGGCCAGGTTACTGTGTACAAAAGATAATTAACTACATAGCTGAAATTGAACTCTGATCTACTAATTCTTTCGAATTCCGAAACTTTAGTTTAGCAGCAGTCTGTGAATAGTTGACTGCAACAGATACTTAAACAGTTTATAAAAGAAATTAATGAGATGCTATTTTTAATAAACTAATGTGAAGCAAACTTTCACTGTGCACGGGTTAATGTGAGAGCAGAAAAGTTACTTACCTTTGGGATGTTTTCTGTTCTACAACAGACATTTTCCTTTCTTGTGTGTTTTCTCCTGTGTCATTTGCAGCTAAGACAACAGACTGCTCTTCTGGTCAGTAGTTGTCTGCTGGGTAACCGTTCCTCTAAAATTGGTTACAAACCTTTCTGTCTGTGAAGAAACATCTGGCCTGTGCAAGGAGCCTAGTTACAGAATAAAGGAACCTCTATTTAAAACTGAGTTGCAAAGGTATTTCTTTCAGATGGTAGTGAATGTCTGGATTTCTTTATGTCTGAGAGTTGTGGTAGCTAGATCACTGAAAACATTTGAAGGAGTTGGCACAAAAGAACAGTTCAATCTTGGGGCAGTACAGCCACGATCTTATAGAATGGCAGGTTAGGCTTGAAGGGCTGAATACCCTATTGTTGCTCCATTTCTTGTTCTGATGTTCTCTTCTGCCGCTGTGTACGACAGCATGTTAACACCACGCAACATAAGGATTCTCTTTTCCTTGCTTCCTTGTTAGAAAAGTGAGGGTTCAGATAATGAGAATTTTTGCTGATATAACGAGAGGGGACATGACAAGATTGAATTGACTGGACTTCTGACTATGTGCTCACTTTATCCTTAGTGTGGTTATGAAAGAAATGTCAGATTTTTGGGTCTGATTCCCAAATCAGGAAGCAACGGAGGCATATCCTGCTCATAGCTGTGAAGAAAGTTTAGGAGGAAATTTTCCACTTTTTAGAGAAGATAATGTTGAGGTGAGTGTGTTGACCATTAATCAAGCTCATTAAGAGTTGACAGGAGCCATGGGCAAGTTTCTCAGTAAATCACAGTCCTCAACATTAGCATTCTAGTCCAGCAGAAACTGCTGGTACCAAGGAAACTTGCAGCTTGTTCAAAATGCTGAGTCTGATGAATTTGTTCCTTCACCAAAAGAAGAAAAGCTCTGTAAACGTCTGATTTATAGAAACTTGTGAATAAAATAAAATGCTACAGATTTCCTCACTCCAGAGAAGTCGATTATTTTGAGACAAACAGAGGCTGAGTGGTCAGTTTCAATGATGTCAATGTAACTGATGAAAACAAAGAAGACAATGAAAATCATGTGATCACAAACAATTTAATCCATAATGACATTTCAATTCGGAAAGGTTTGGTATGGCTGATTAAAAATACCACTAGGCAATGGCCTAGTGGTATTATCGCTGGACTGTTAATCCAGAGACCCAGATAATGTTCTGGGGACCCTGGTTCAAATCCCACCACGGCAGATGGTGGAATTTGAATTCAATAAATATCTGGAATTAAGAGTCTAATGATGACAACGAATCCATGGTCAATTGTCAGGAAAAACCCATCTGGTTCACTAATGTCCTTTAGGGAAGGAAACTGCCATCATTACCTGGACATGTGACTCCAGACTCCTGGACATCCTACATGTGACTCCAGACCCACAGCAATGTGGTTGACTCTTAACTGCCCTCTGGGCAATTAGGGATGGGCAATAAATGCTGCCTAGCCAGCAACATCCTCATCCAAATAAAGAAATTAAAAATGTATTAAATTGAAGTCAATTTTTAAGGTAGTAATTTTTATTCAGAGGATAATATTTTTAAAGTTCAGAATTATTACATCCTACATTACTGTGCCAAAATTGAAGTTATCTGTATATTGCTGAAACTTTAAGGTGGTAAAGCCTAATTGCTTAGATCAATTAGATACTCCTTACTCTTAGGCAGATACTTGGGTCAGTTAGAGCCTAGAATGATGCAAACATATGACTCATTAAGTTAGTTAGAAGCACATATTGGTAGAAAATTATCCCTGTAGATTGTAAACTAGTTAACTTTTTATAGAAGTGTGATATAGAAATGTGTGTGTTATGGATGTATAGATTTTCATTCTAGTTTCAAATATAGTTTAGTGGACACAAAGATTTTTTGTTGGTGTGCATGAAATCTGAAATAGAACTTGTTTTTTGATTTGGATGAATGGTAAATTAGGTACTCTGGCTGCATTCATAGTAAAACTGGAGAACAGCTCCTACACAAAAGCTTCCTCTTTGGTTGCCTCCGAGTATGAACTATAAAATTTGTCAATGAAAGGGAAATGTGAGCTCTCTTAAGGAGCTTTGGTATTGCAGGCTTAAATAACAGGTCGACAAGAAAAGCCTTCTCCAATCTAAAAGTCTGGGCAGGTTCACTTTTGCCATGACAAGCAAGTCTGATGCCATAAAGCATCTCTATTACTCTCACTCAGTAATGCACATTTAAATTCACATTTCTATGAGGGAATAAGAATTTTGTACTTTGGACATAAATATTCTACAACCACATGATTGCATTTATTCAATAGTGTGCATAACGGTAGATTATGTAAATGAAAGTAATTGTTTACATATAGTGTATATAAGGCTCAACAAACATTTGTTAAAAACATTCACTAATCAGCAGTTGGAGTATTTTAAGTATTTTACTTTAAAAAGATATGTTTATGCTGGAGATGGTGCAGAAGAGATTCATTAAGATGATACAAAAGATGAGAAATTTTAATGATAAACAGAAACTGGAGGAATCATTAACACCATTGAAACAGAGATTAAGATCCAAAGATTCAAAATTATTGAGGGTTTAGAGAGGTCAGTAGCAAGTAACAAAAGGAGAAATGCTTAAGGTCATCCCAAAAACACTACGCTTCACATTTCTGTTTGCCACAAATTTAGGAAGGATGTGGTTGCATTAAGAGGGTTGCAAAAGACATCCACCTGGATGCTAGCTGGCCTGGAATGATCCAACTATGGAGAGAATCCAGATAGGCTGAGCTTGTTTTCCTATGAGCAGAGAAGACTAGAGGGGAACCAGATTGAGATCTACAAAATTATAAGAGGCATAGATAGGAAGAAACATTTCCTCTTAATAGAGGAGTTTATAATGAGGAGACAAAGTTTTAGGGTAAGGAGCAGGAGGTGGAGATGGGATTTGAGGAAAAAGAGTTGTGGGTATTTGGAACTTATTGCCCAAAAGGGTGGTAGAGGGGAAAACCCTCAAGACATTTAAGAACTATTTAGATTGACACTTGAAACACTATAGATACCAGGCTACCAGCCAAGTGCTGGAAGATGGGTTTAAAATAGATGGATGTTTGATGACCCGTGTGGACACAATGGACTGAACAGCTTCTCTCCATGCTGGCAAAATCTATTTTTCCTGTTCCCTACTTGTACAGTGATGCAACGACATTGGGCCTACGGTCATCAAAAATGTTCCTTTATCATCATTTTTCATCTTGATGAGCAAAAATTATCACTGTTTCCTTAAAAATAAAATCAGATTTGAATATGCGCGTAGATCAGATTGATTAAAATGCTGATTTTACTGGACAAATCAGGATCCAAATTTGCTTGTTGTCCACCAGAAGTCCTGGTGAGATTACTGATTCACTACTGCAGGACTTGTTTTCCCATTTGTATCCATGAATGTTCAATGAAAACTTAATACAGACTGGTGGATCTCAGGCCAGTTTGAATTCAGGAGTTCAATGGTGAGAAAGAACCTTACAGCAGTGTTGTGCTGGTGTGCGCGGTATAGTGTTCCTGCTTTCAAACCAACAATAACTTCCTGGGGTGGAACTGAATCAAAGTTTTAAGTGCCTGATGTTCATGCAGAATAAAGCATCTATAAATGACAAGGAAAACAAAAAATGAAAGCTAATTCTTCTGGAATAATGGCTCGTACAAATTACTTTGGTTTTTATCTAGTCTTAAACTCCATACAATGAAAAGAGTTGCAGAATAAAATTATTGAATCTTGCCAAAAGCCCTTTCAAATTTTGATTTTTCTTGTTCAAAAATGCTGAAATGTGTGTACAGTATCTCACTTCATAATTGAAGAATAGACAGTGAAACTGCTATTGCAAAGTCAAATCACTGCAGCAACCACTTAATGTCAACACCAACAAAAAGGAGTTGTTTGAGACTTCTTTGAATTAATTTTGCTCATTAAATCACAGAATCATTTGGTTTCATCCAGCAAGTGTGGGTTTTGAACTGGCTGCAGTCAACTGGAAAAGAAATCCCACAGAATTGGGGATTGAGCTGCCTTTGACGCTCATCCCCTCTCAGGAAAAGCTCGTGCTCTTTGCTCAGTGGCTCCTCATGGCAAGAGATCTGACATTTGTCACTCAGTAGCTTAGGGGTGTTTTGGAACCCACCATCCCATAACTCAGCATGCTGTTGTTGCAAACCACTGCGCAATGCCACTGATAATTTGAAAGAACACTGCACACATAAGCAGAACTCAGCATTCCTGCCATAAGAACTTGTCCATGTTTGCAAATCTGCGAGATTCTCTAGTTGAAATGATTTTGCATTTCTTTTTAATTTGGCAATATATATCTTTTTTCTTTCCACTTCAATCATCCATCCTGCCAAAGAAAGA